GTTTATGCACACAATTAATATGGGAACAATTCTTAATGAAGAGGATCTAAAACAATTAACAGAGTTTGATTTAAAAGAATTATTAGAAAGCGAAAATAAACTTTATAAATCTTTGGGTTCAAATTTATATGACAAAGGAGAAAAATTATTAAAACATATAGATTTAATCAACACAATTATAAAAGAAAAAAGAAGTAATATGGAGAATAGCATCCTAAATAATATAGGAAGTTTGTCAATTAAAGATAATACAATGAATACCAACAACAATAATAATAATAATAGCTTCATTAATGAAAATGGAAGAAATCATTTACAAACCAAACCTTGTATTCCACATCATATTAAACAATTATCGGTTGAGGAGTCATCTCAAATTTTGCAACACAATATGATTGAAAATAAACTTTCTTCATTGGTAAGTAAATAATATAATAAAACAATACAGATATATTTGGTATTAACCAATAATTTTATTTTTATTTAAAGGATAAAAAGTTTAATGAATTTGGCGTAGAATCACCTAATAGTATTAGAAAGAATCGCAGTAGTAATAGCATTAATAATTTAGACAACACAAATAGTGAAATGGATGACGATGAAATAGAAGATAACAATGAACATGATTATGTTAGTCCAGATGAACTTGATGATGAAGTAGATTCAATCGACCCATTCGACGATAAACCCTATGACGAAGGATTCAACTATAAGCTCCAAGATGAATTCCACTATTTCGATGACGACACATAAGCAAACACAGCCCTCCAATTTAATTTATTCAAAAACAAAAAAGTATAAAAAAATTAAAACATAAATAACCAAAAAAAAAAAAACAAAACAAAATCAATCTAAAAAAAATAAAATAAAATTCAAAAAACTTTGTAAATAATCTAAAAAATCTATACATTGTGCAATAAACTCAGTCATATAGCCCAACCTTACATTTTTAATTAATCACTATAAATCACTTAAATATCCATAAATGGTTTTGTGTGTTAATCACGATTAATTAAAGGGGTCAAACAATTTCTTTTTGAGAATATTATGTTGGTGAAAATAATTTTTTTGTTTTTCAAATTTTTTAATTTTTTTTTTAATTTTTTTTAATTTTTTTTTAAAATTTTTTTTTTATTTTTTTTAATTATTTTATTTTAAATAATAATATTAAAGTTACATTTGTTAACTTTTATTTATATATAATGTCAACACCAACACCAACACCAACACCAGCACCAACACCAGCATCGCTAACACAACCAAAACAGGTCGATATTACAAGAATTCCAGGTTTTAAACAATGGGTTATTATTTATCCACCTTATATAAATAGTGAATGTACAAAAGACAGAGGTAGAAAGATTTCAAAAGAGAACGCTGTCAAAAATCCAAATTTAATAGAAATAGCTGAAGCCACATCTGCTATAGGTTTTAGTTCAGTTATTGAACCAAACAAAGGTTATCCAAAAGAATTTTTCCAAAGAGGAAGAGTTAGAATTAATTTTGAAGAACTTAAACATAGATACCCAGCCATTAAAAATAGTAAACTATCATACTATCATTAAATATTTAATAATCTATAGTAAATTAATAGATAGTATAATAATAATAACCATTAATAATAATAATAATAATAATAATAATAATAATAATAATAATAATAATAATAATAATAATAATAATAATAATATTAATAATTATAAATAGTAAAGATTCAATTTATATTAATATAAATTCATTATTTAATTTTAGAAACTATTTTAATGTGTAAAATTGCAGAAATTATTAAAAAAAATCAACCAAACAGACCAGAAAGCTTTAATCCATTATCACTTTTACCACCAGTTCAAGCTGTTTCAAATAAAGAAAAGAAACATCCAACCCCAAATACTACTACCACAACAACTACTACATCCTCTTCATCATCAAAAACTGGCGGAAAGAAAAAGAAAAATGTTAATGTAATTTAAATAATTTGACCCAATAAATATAATATAGTTTTCATAATATAACCCAAATAATCACCTTTTTTTTTTCTTTAAAAACATCCAGTAGTCAAATAATTATTAAACTGTATTGATTTATCACCATAAACTCATAATAATATCCTTTTTTATAAAAAAAAAAAATAGATGGTATTTTATTTTATAAAAACAAAACCATCAAATGATTAAAGATTTAAAAAAAAAAAATTATTTGATTGGGGATGTTTAACCCTTCAGTTATTTATTTTTCAAATTAAAATTATTTTTTAATTTTTTCCTATTTGTATAAATATTATCAGTTGGTGTGTGTGTGGGGATTATTTTTTTAATTTTTTTTTTTTTTTTTCTTGTATTTACATTTAGATCTATATTCAATGGCACTGCATATAGATGGGGGTGATAAATTTGAAAAAAAAATTTTATTTCATTGATTTGTTATTGAAAAAATTATAATATGGAAACTAGATATCTATTTTTTTTAAATTTTATTTTTTTAATTTTTTTTTAAATTTAATGTTTTTTTTTATTTTATTTTTTTCATTTTTGTTTTTTTTGGCATATAGAAAACTAATATTAATAGACAACTGACCATTTCAATTATATAAATAAATAAATAACCCCTTTTTTATTTATTTATTTTTTTTTGTATTATTTAAATTTTGTTTTTATTTTTTAATAAAAACACACAAATATTTATTTTTTTATTACCTCATATTATATATATATATATTAAATTATAAAATGGATAGTTTTAATCCATCATTACCAACAGTTGTCGAAAATTTAGAGGATCTTTATAAAAATTTAGACAAAAATAAAAAAAGATACGACCAATTAAAAGATACTTTTGCACAAGCATTCAATGGCGATACACCATTATTTTACTTTAGAGCACCAGGTAGAGTTAATTTAATTGGTGAACATGTTGACTATAGTGGTTATCCAGTTTTAGTAGGTATATAAAAAAAAAATGAAAAAAAAAAAAAAGTAACAAAATTTTAAAAAATATTAATTTTAATAATTTAAGCCATTTGCATTAGAACAAGATACAATTGTTGCCGTATCATTCAATAAGGATGACAAGAACCAATTAAATATTTTTAATGTTAATGAAAAATATACAAATAAAAGTGTCGATATTTCAAAAGAGATAAATATCGATATGAAGAATCATCATTGGACCAATTATGTTTTAGCTGCATGGAAAGGAGTACAACAAACCCACAGAGAACAACATCAAAGCCAACCAATGAAGTCTTTAAATCTTTTATTCTTTGGCAATGTACCAATGGGAGCCGGTGTATCATCTTCATCAGCATTAGTCTGTGTATCAGTATTAGCATTTACATATATTCATAATATGGTTTTCAATAAAGAAGAATTATCAGCATTGTCAATAAAGAGTGAAAGATTCGTTGGTATTGAAAGTGGTGGTATGGATCAAACCATTAGTTTTCTAGGTGATATCAATACTGCAAAATTAATTGAATTCTCACCAGTTTTAAAAGCTCATGATGTTCAATTACCAAAAGGTGTTCAATTTGTAATTTGCAATAGTTTAGTTGAGTCTAATAAAGTTATTACCGGTGCCACAAATTATAATCTTCGTGTAGTCGAATGCCGTTTGGCAGCTGTAATTTTAGCTTTTCATTTAGGATTGAAGTGGGAATCTGTTAGAAAACTTAAAGATGTTCAACATATAGGTAATTACAGTATCACTCAAATGGTTGGTTTCACCGAACAACACTTGAAACAAACACCATACACCAGAGAAGAAGTAGCATCCATTTTAGATATAACCATTGAACAGCTTCACAAAATTTATTTCCCAAGTGGTATTACTGTCAATGCTCAACATTTCGAACTCTACAAAAGGGCTAAACATGTTTTCACTGAAACTCAACGTGTATATCAATTTTCAGAAACCTGTAAAAGCCATTTCATCTCATCACACAAGGTAGATGACGAACTAACCGATAAAGTCACCCGTGAGTTAGGAACTCTAATGAATCAAAGCCATGAAAGTTGTTCAAAATACTTTGAATGCAGTTGCCCAGAATTAGACATTCTCACTGAAATATGTCGTAATGCTGGTGCATTGGGATCACGTTTAACTGGTGCAGGCTGGGGTGGTTGTGTAATTTCTCTTGTACCAAACTCAAAAGTTGGTCAATTCTTAAACGAAATTGATCAGCATTACTATGCCAAACATGTCAACTCTCAACATTTACCATCTGACAAATCAAGCTACTCTTTCTTCACTACTCCATGCAAGGGTGCATCCATAGTTTCACCTTCATCAACCTTCAATTATGAAGCCAATACTAAAAAATAAAATGTATAAATAAAAATCAGCATATATCAAAAAAAATAAAAAATAATTTTTTAAATTGGTTCAAGAGACAAACAATCAAAAAAAAAGAAAAAAGAAAAAAAAAGATATTTTTTATAAAACTTTTTTTTTTAATTATTTTTTTTTTGCAAATTTTTTTTATTATTTTTTTAAAATTTTTTTTTCTTTATTGTGTTTATTTTTTAATTTTTTTTTGATGTCTATGAACATTTATTATTTGAAAGAAAAAAGGTATTTTATCAATAAAATTTTTTTTTTTGTAGGATCATATTAAATTTATATTTATATTTATGATTAATAATTTTTCATCTTATATTTAATTTTGAAAGAAAAATTAACACACATTCATATAATATTAAACCCACAATACTTGCCACACAATAAAAAAGATTTTAATAAATAGATTATTAAACTTCACACACACACACCTTTACACACGCATATAAACACAACAAAATATAATTTCAAAAAAAAAAAAAAATTGCTCATAAAACTTACTGCACACAATCTTATATAACTATTATTCTTCCAAAAACAACAACCATTCACCAAAACCAACAGAAATTGTATAAATAGGAAAAAATAAATAAATTAAAATAAAAATAAAAATAAATAAAAATAAAAATAAATAATTTAAAAAAAAAAAAAAAACAAATACGAACAATATTTTTTTTTTTATTAAAAAATTTTTATAATTTATATATCAATACACACATTTTTAATGTTATTATAACATTTTTAAATAATATATTTTTTTTACATTTTATCATAAAATATAAAATATATATAGAAATTATTTAGTATAGCATTATTGTGTTATATATGCGTTACTTGTATTTTATTTTGTTTATAAAATAATATAAAACTATCATTAAATTTGTGTTTTGTAACAATATTAATATTTTTTTTTTCCTTTAATTATAGTCGTGTATATTAGTAACAATAATACAGAAAAATATATAGATAAACAAAAACAAATAAAAAAATTAAAAAAAAAAAAGAAAAAATAATTGTTTGAATAAAAAAAAAAAAAAAACATAGATATTTTTTTCAATTAAATATATTCAAATAATAATAATTTTTAAAATTTTTTTTAAAAAAATTTAAACAAATATGTATAAGTGGTATCAAAGTAATAATATAGTTTATATATCATTTAACATACCTGAAAATGTTACAAAACAAGATATTCAAGCCGACATATCAAGTTCATCAATTTCATTAGGTGTTAAAGGTTATGGTTTAAATTGTGAAGTATGTTTTAAAAGAGATTTGGATGATATTAGAGAATTTATAGTTTCTTTAGGTTCAAAATTGTTTTAACAATATATATTTTTTTTAACAATTTATTTAGGGTTCATTATATTTAAATATTAAAAGTTCAAAATGGGCAATTAAAGATGGATCTGTTCAAGTTCAAATGGATAAACAGTCACCAGGTAAATGGAGCCAACTTTTATCAGTTGTAAATGAATCAAACCCAAAAGCAATTGTATTATTCGATTATGAGGCAACAGCCGATGAAGAATTATCTTTATTACCCCATGAGGTTATTAATATCATTTCAAAAGATGACAGTGGGTGGTGGGAAGGATCCAAGATAAATTTAAATGGTGTTTTCCCAAGTAATTTTGTAACAGAATTTCCATCAGACTATCAACCACCTGAAGGTAAAATATTATTAAAGCAATTATTTTTATTGTTTATTTATATTAATACTTTTTTTTTTTTTAAATTATTTTAGATACAGAATTATCAAATGAAGTTGCAAAAGAAGATCCAATAAGCGGTGTTTCAAGAGTCGGTATTAATATTATGGGTGGTATGGGAAGTTTAGGAAATATGGATGAATTAAAAAATAAATTAAGAAAAACAGCAGCCTATAATGCGCAAGAATTAGAAGAGGCAATTAGTAAAGAAGAAAGCAATGCCAATTCAGGTGGTAATCCAGGCTTTGTAGCAGTTCAACCAAGTAAAAGTGGAGGAACAAGACCACAAAATAGAGTTTTATTAAATAGATCATCTCAACAAATCAATGAACCAATTAACCCAATCCAACCAGTTCAACCAGTTCAACCAACAACAACTACTACTACAACACCTGCACCAACAGTACAATTAAAACCAGTTTCCAAAAAAGAAAAGGAAACACCAGTGATTCCAGCAACAACCTCAAAAGAATCACATTCTACAAATAAAGAATCAGGAAAAGAAGAGTCAACAACTAAAAGTTTAACTTCATTATTTAAAAAACCTTTAAAAACTATTCATGCAATATCCGCACTTACAGGTTCAAACTCAAGTGAAGAAAAGAAAATTAAAGCTAAAGTACTTTTTGATTTTGAGACCAAAGAACCAAATGAATTGTCTTTAAAGAAAGGGGACATTATTGTTATTCTTGCAAAAGATCCATCAGGCTGGTGGCAAGGTATTAATCAATCCTCACGTGCTCAAGGTTGGTTTTCAAATACTTTTGTCGAAGAAATTAAAGAACCTGAAAAAGCAGTTAAATCAACTAAAACACCCGAAAAATCCGAAAAACCTGAAAAAATTGAAAAACCAAAATTATCAAAACCTAAAAAACCAGCCGCCACTCCAGGTACTGTTGAAGATAAACTTCAATCACTCGATGAAACACCAAAATTAGAATCTGTTAAAAGAGTTGGAGCTGCCAGAAATAGAAAACCACCCTCAAGAGTTCGTGCCTCATATTTATTATCAGATGAAGAAAAAACTGAAAGAGAAAAACTTAAACAAAGCTTCTACTCACACATTGTACAACATAATAGAGATGAGGAATTAGAGGAAGAATTAGCACAAGAGAATGAGGAAGAGCAATCAGTAACAGCACCACCACAATTGACAGGAGATAAACCATCAAAACCACCACCACCAAAAAGAAACTATGCAGGTCCAGAAACTACACCATCTACAGCTCCATCAAAACCACCATCAAAACCTGCTCCAAAACCACCAGTCGCCGAAAGAGCTCCAACAAGCTTCTCTTCAAGCGATGGATATGAATCAGTTTCACCACCAGTTACCCAAGATGATTTAAGTAATAGCAGCGACAGTTTACAAACATCAGTATCCAAACCACCTCAAAAATCACCTCCACCAATCGCCAGAAAGTTCCCATCACAATCACCATCACCAAATACAACCTCACCACCATCATCATTAAACTCATCATCAAACGATGTTGCAGTAGAGCAACCATCCAAACCATTATCCAAACCAATTTTAAAACCAAGAGCACCAAACCCTCAAACAGATCAAACAGCAGCACCAACTAATGAAGTAAACTTTAAAGCAAACTTAAAACCCCCACCAAGATCGACCTCACCAATTAGTACTTCACAAGAAATTGAAAAACCATCAGATGCAAGTACTACACCAACACCATTTGGTCTTAAGAAAGTTCCTAAACCAGTTGCTATACAAACACCACCATCAGAAGGTAGCACAACCAATACTGCTCCAAAACCACCACCATCACCAGAAAATAGTGGTGTCAAACCAGCCCCAATTTCTAGACCACCATTAAAGAAAGCTCCATTAAATAAAAGTGATGAAACAACCATACAATCACCACCACAAACAACAACCTCACCAACTCAATCATCACCACCAAACTTATCAAAACCAAAAGTTGTACCAAGAGCACCACCATCAACATCACCAAATTCATTATCTACACCATCATCACCACCACTATCAAGTAGCAATAGTAGTATTGGAAGTGCTGGACCACCACCACTTGCATCACCATCAGCTGCACACAAGAGAAATCCTTCCAATCCATTAACATCACCACCAGCAACAGCATCTACCAAAACCAAACCATTGGAATTCAGCCAAGTATGTCAAGAAATTGCAAATATTTGTAGCGAAATTGAAGAAAACAGTAATAATTCCCAAGAACCTTCAACCTTTAAACATATCTATCCACCATTACCTGAATCATTCCTCTCTATTGCAGTTTGTAGTGTTGACGGTCAATTTTGGGGCAATGATGATGCTGTTAACGATCAACAAATTCCAATGTTCCAAGCCATTTATCCATTCCTTTATTCAATTCT